ACACACACACACACACACACACACACACACACACACACACACACACACACACACACACACACACACACACATATACCTACTACTGTATGTCTCTCTATCATTGTGGGGACTTTCCATTGACTTTCATTGTTTTTTTTAATGTTATAGCCTAACCTGACCATTTACCCTAAAATTAACCTCACAGTTATCTGACCATAAAACTAACCTAAACTCAGTTAACACCTTGATCCTAAACCTTACCCCCCCACCCCCACCCCAAAATCAGCCTGTGAAGTCATTTGGACCGGTCGTTGGTCCTCACAAGGCTGCATTTTCTTGAAAAATCGTCCCCACCAAGTRGCAAAAACAAGGGCACACACACTTTACCTTGTCTCTCTAAAATGCTTTCGTTTCTTCATGGCTATGCAACAGGTGGACAAACGTGTGCATTTCATGCCCACAAGCTGGTAGATGATGGGGTTGTACATAGCTGACGACTTGGCCAATAATGTAGGAATAACAGACACCGGGATGGGGACTGAGTCTGGCTCGCCGAATGCTGACACCACCGAAACCACTGCATAAGGGATCCAAGCGATCAAGAAACCTGTACAAATGAGCATTGCTACCTAGGAGACAATAGAAAACAATCAGATCATCAATGTTATCATCTTTATTTAGTGTCTACAGTATAATAACTTTTCCCATGTTCCAAAATTCTCTCAAAAATCTAACTCACCTTTGTCAGTTTGATCTCAAGGTTGTGGTTGTTTCTGATGCGGGCATCATAATGTGAAACTTCCTTAGAGGAAGACTTGACCTTGTAGATGATCATGACATAGGAGAAAACAATGATTCCAGCAGGGAGAAGAAGACAGAAAAAAAGCATGGCCATGACGAAGGTCTGACCAGAAACAGAGGCTTGTGCAAGCCACCAGTCCAGAGTGCAGGAAGTCCCAAATGGCTCTGGGGCATAATTCCCCCAGCCAACAAGGGGCATAGTGGCCCAAAAGATTGCATACACCCAAGTAAAGGCCAGGCATATGAAGGTGTGGTGGCGTTTCAGCCATGTACCTGAGAGCAAAGTAGAAAGGAAATAGGTAAAAAATATGAAAACATTCATTTTAGCACAGCAAAATATGCAATTCACAAAATCAGAATTTAGATAAAAACATTGATAAAGAGGATTGGGGTATAGCTACCTGCACTTAGCAATGTTATTGACAACTGCTAAACATGATTAGCATTAAAAGGTGTCAAAGCAATTTTCTGCTGTTAAATTCAAAGTAAAATAAATCTAATTTAAAGGAAAAAAAATTTATGCAAAGATTTTGAGTTTGCCTTGTCATTACTTGAGTAACATGTTTTTGGCAYCAATGCCATGTTAGCAGAAACTAAAATCAACAGAATTTTTAAAAATATCAGAATTGAAGTTAAATGGACTGTACTGTATTTAGCACTTTTCATTCCAAGTAGGACACTCAAAGCTCTTTACACTACAATCTGTGTCCTCATTTATCCATTCATACAGCACTCCATAGTTCTCCACGAAGCATACAAATTATCTTTGGAGACTAATCAGTGTGAATCACATTCATACACTCATGGGACACACATCAGAGGCATTTGGGGTGAAGTGTCTTGCAAGACACATCTGAGACAGCTGGAATGGGAGATCGAACCAGCAACCTACCCATTCCAGGACAAGCCAGTACATTGTAATGCATTATCATGTAGATATATTCATACAGGTCTGGTATTGTTGACTCCAATACCAATACTTGTCATCTTCATTTAATAATTTTGTGATTTTGCCCTTAGTGAATCAATTATGATAAAACACATGATAAAGATTTTAGGCAAATAAAAATGTTTATGTATAAACTAACTACAGCAATTTAAAACAAAGTAACAGTATAAAAACAATAAAATAATTCCACTATTACATTCTACTACACTCATTTAAGAAAAAAAAGTCATAAGTGCAAAATAAAAAAGCAATAATGTAACAAAATATAATCATAACAATGTAACAACAACAGAAAATGCCTTCCATTGCACAATGGCATGGTGTAGAGAACTAATGACTAACTAGAAACAATTTGGAGACTCTGCACTACTGGCTTTATTTTTTCACTTTATTTATGAAAACTAAAGTCATCACTGCAAATAAAGTGTAACCATAAGAATCAGTCTTTTCACGCTAGTACCGATCCATTACAGATAGTCATCTTGGTATTATTAGTATCAATACTTACATCAATAATCCCACCTAYCATTTAGTTAAACATACAGCAGGTAAAATGTGTTGAACACGTCACCATTTTTCTCAGTAAATATATTACTAGAGGTGCTAATGACATGAAATTTTTACCAGATGTTGGTAACAACCCAAGTGATCCATACATACAAAGAAATCAAACCATAAATGTCCAGAAATGAAGTTATTTGTAATAATGTGGAATGGCACAGGGGAAAAGTATTGAACACACTAACTGAAATTTATCTAATACTTTGTACAAAAGCCTTTGTTGTCAATGACAGCTTCAAGACGCCTCCTGTATGGAGAAACTAGTGGCATGCATTGCTCAGGTGTGATTTTGGCCCATTCTTCCACACAAACAGTCTTCAAATCTTGAAGGTTTCGTGGACCTCTTCTATGAACTCTGATCTTTAGTTCTTTCCATAGATTTTCTGTTGGATTCAGGTCAGGTGATTGGCTGGGCCATTCCAGCAGCTTTAGTTTCTTTCTCTGAAACCAACTGAGAGTTTCCTTGGCTTTGTGTTTGGGCTCATTGTCTTGCTGAAATGTCCAGCCACGTTTCATCTTCATCATCCTGGTAGATGGAAGCGGATTTTTATCAAGAATGTCTCTGTACATTTTTCCACTCATCCTTCCTTCAATTATTTGAAGTTTGCCAGTACCATATGCTGAAAAACARCCCCACACCATGATGTTCCCACCTCCAAACTTCACTGTTGGTATGKTGTTTTTGGGCTGATGTGCAGTGCCATTTGACCTCCAAACATGATGTGTATTCTGGCATCCAAACAGTTCAATGTTGGTCTCATCTGACCAGACTATATTCTCCCAGTATTACACAGGCTTGTTTAAATGTTGTGCAGCAAACTTTAAAGGAGCTTCAACATGTTGTTTCTTCAGCAGTGGAGTCTTGCGTGGTGAGCGTGCATACAGGCCATGGTGGTTCAGTGCATTACTTATTGTTTTCTTTGAAACAATCGTACCTGCTAATTCCAGGTCTTTCTGAAGCTCTCCACAAGTGATCCTTGGCTCTTGGACAACTCTTCTGATAATTCTTTTCACTCCTCTGTCAGAAATCTTGTGAGGAGCACCTGGTTGTGGTCGGTTTATGGTGAAATAATGTTCTTTCCACTTCTGAATTATGGCCCCAACAGTGCTCACTGGAACCTTCAGAAGTTTAGACATTCTTCTGTAACCGATGCCATCATTATGCTTTGCAACAATAAGGTTGTGAAGGTCTTGAGAGAGCTCTTTACTTTTACCCATCATCAGATGGTTCTTGTGTGATACCTGGCCATCATTTGGGACTGAACCAGCTGATATTAACTTGCACTGACAAGGGGCAGGCTTGTTTTCTAATTACTGAGAGAGTTCAGCTGGTGTCTTGGCTTTCCATGCCTTTTTACACCTCCCTTTCTTCATGTGTTCAATACTTTTTCCCTGTTCCATTCCACATTATTACAAATAACTTCATTTCTGGGCGTTTATGGTTTGATTTCTTTGTATGTATGGATCACTTGAGTTGTTACCGACATCTGGTGAAAATTTCATGTCATTAGCACCTCTATTAATATACAGTATTTACTGAGAAAAATGTTGACGTGTTCAATACTTATTTTACCTGCTGTAAATGTAGGTAGATATGAACATTGATTCTAATACTATGATCTAATTTACTAAAGGTCTGCGTGTATAACAAGATGTGCAAAAAGCTCACAAAGCTGATCTACTAACTGTGTGCAACAAAGATTTTGTCTGTTAAATGAGCAAAATAGCAGACACAATCCATTTAGAGTGTTTGCCTTCATGAATATGAAGAATATGTGATGACTACCAGAATATGCAGAATACTGGGAGCAGGATGTGCAGATAAAATCATCTAGCAATGCAATGTAATTTTTCAAACCTGAAAACGATTGCAGTTACATCTTTATTTAGCTTTAGTTTGCAAAGCAGGCACAAACTGGCTGCGGTCCATGGGCCTCATGCAAGAACTGTTCGCACAAACAGATTTGTGCGTACGAGTGATTTAGGAGAATTTGTAGCATCTACCAATTTTCTCGTATTCTCAGATTTTTTTTTCATTTACGAACTAAATTCATGAGTGGTCCAGACCTGTCGTATATTTTTCGTGCAGTTAGTCTGCTGTTATCCAGACGGGATTTTCTCATCAATAACTTTCTATTTCATTAGTTTGAAGATATTTTGAGTTGAAAATAAATCACTCTATAATTATGTTGACAATAGGTTGAACTGGAATTAGATTTTAAATGTAACTAACGACGTAAATTGATTAGATTAAATTAAATTGGCTTTTAATGCTATTGTATAACACTACAATATTAATGTGAATATCACAAACTAAAACCAACTTAAATTATGCATTAATTGAAGTTTGGAGACATTTTAAAATACGTCTTTTCAGAACCGCATCGGCTGACACTTGCGACGGCCGGGAGGGGGGAGACGGCACGCGACCGCCCTCACTTTGAATAAATGAAAACTATGTAACACAGGTGTTCACTCTTAAATTAAAAATATTTGACCAAAGAAAAACCGGAGCAGGACTAGAGAGAGATGAATATGATTTAGATGTTTATTTCTGTGACTGTATAGGCCCTACGACCCACAGGAGACATGACATTAACAGCAGTAGTTATTTCATTCCATTCTTTGGCTTTAGCTGGTCCTTTGATTCCACAGCTGACGCTTCTAAAAAGGACAGATTTTCTTTTCTCGATCTCTGAGAGCAGCATTTTAATCTCTGAGCTCGTAAAGTCCTTCTTTTTACTTTTCGCTGTCATTTCCATGAATGAACACTTCCTGATATCTGAGGCAGGAAACAAAGCCGTATATGGTGCTTTTGAGGTGGTAATTATGCTAATCTCCTCTCCGCATGCACGAGCGGCTGGATACAAACAGGTGGAATTTTTGCAGCTCATTTACAAACTTTTCCTGAAGATAGAAGATTTTGTTGAATCTGACGTGGCATGTACAAACCCTTTGTACGAACAAAAGTAAGAGAAATTTAATTTAGGATAAGTTATAAGAACACGTTCTTGCATGCGGCCCATTATTTCTGCTCTGCTTCTGATGTAGTTTTTTTACACCTCCCTTTCTTCATGTGTTCAATACTTTTTCCCTGTGCCATTCCACATTATTACAAATAACTTCATTTCTGGACATTTATGGTTTGATTTCTTTGTATGTATGGATCACTTGGGTTGTTACCGACACCTGGTGAAAATTTCATGTCATTAGCACCTCTAGTAATATATTTACTGAGAAAAATGTTGATGTGTTCAATACTTATTTTACCCACTGTATTATTTGGATCTTAGTAAATCAGACCCTAAATTTCAGCTGTGCTCCGTAGTCAAAAAAGCAGGCATAAAGGACCAAAAGGCTAGAGTGAACACTGACTGGAAGAAGTTATGAGTTGATTAGAGCGTGCAATGCTTGATTTTACATGTGTGCATTAGTAAAGTAACAGTAGAAGTGTCAATGAGTGACAGGCCTGTAAAAAAAGTAGGTATTCAAGCATTTTTGTGACTTTTCTGACGCACCGTATCTGAGATGGCAGATCTTGAGGTACCGGTCAAGGCTCACAACTGTCATTGTGATGAGGCTCCCACAGCCAAAGAAGAAGCCTGTCCAGCCATAGAAATGACAGCCTTTCCAGCCGAACAACCAGCGATGTGAGAAACTAGATACAACAAAAAATGGCTTTCCTGTCACTAAAAGGCAGAGGGGAAAAGGAAAGACAAGGAAGACAAAATGAAAGCCATAAAATGAAAAGGAAAGAAGATGGTGAAAAGAAGGAAAAATGAGACAAAAATGGAGAGAGAGATACAGAGAGAAGTAAAATAGTGTTAATGGAATGGAAGAAATAAAAAGGACCTTAATTGCATGACAAACTTTTTTTTTAAATATACTCATTTGATCAATTGTACATTATATGTTATATAATCAAAACTCTTCAGCAGTGGTGGGCACCAGCCTGCTAAAGCAGAAATCCGCTAATTTCGGATCTAAATATTTAGTTTGCGCTTTGGCAGACTTACTAATTTTTATAATTCATAAGCAGATTTGCGCTTTCTAAAATYAAAATGTAGTACCACTAATAACTAATTATCTACCAGTCATCATCTTGAACAGCAGAAGGTAAGACTGTGAATGAAACATAACACACATGATTTATCCAACAGCACCCCTCCCTCTTAAACACTCTTATTGGGAAGGTATACATCCTTCCTGACTATTGCTTTGGGTCACGGTTCTGATTTCCCACAATGCTTTGTGTCTGCTTACGTAGCAGGAAGGCAACAGCAAAAACAGTAAATGTTTGTAATCCATGGTAAAAAAAATTATGCATTGATTTATTTTACTTAACAATCGGAGCTCCTTTTTTTAAAAAAATTAAAGCAATCGGCTAACGTGTTAGAGACTCAGAAATTATTTAAAGATGTTATGCTGGTGAAGACTGACATCTAATGGTCAACTGGAGCAACTACATGGAAAACTTTAAAATCCAAGCTCTTATTTTGAAGGGAAGATACTAGTTTTCTGTTCCCCATGTTTTTGTTTCCCGTCAGTCCGTCATGTACCCAGAATGCATCGCTTCAGTTTTCCMATAAACAGTTTTAAAATTACTTTATTGATGCTTCTTTAATGAAAAATCTACAACAAACAAAAGAAAAAGACAAAGAAGCAGCCGAACTAGCAATCCTCAACAACTTTTTAATGAAGCAGCCAAACTAGCAATCCTCAACAATGTTTTAATTTTTACACCAGGAGCTAAAGTCCTGGTTAAGGAAATCACATCCCCAGCAATCAGCGGTTGTAGAATTAAGCTGTACAAGGGTTCATACACAGCTAGTTGGCAGTGCTGTGCATATATTGTACATGAATTGGTGCCAGATAGTAAGTGTCAAATTGAACTTGTGCTTTAAAATTAGCTTCCGCWAATTTTTCTATGACATAAGCGTTTTTGGAGTTGCGGACCTAAATATTTTCATAAGCGCTTTAGAAATTGCGGAGCTAATTTTTGGATGAGTGCTGCCCACCACTGCTCATCAGTGTAACTGAACCTGCTAGGCTCAATATATAAATCCAACTGCAAAAAAGTTAGAACATTGTGTCAAATGTCAGTACATAAACAAAATGCAATGATGTGCTAAATTCTTAAAACCATAAAACATTGTAAACATCAAAGAGAAATCATAAAATTTATAGAAAATATGAGGAAATTTTATATCTTATGGCACATTTTAGAACATATGGGATAGGACCATGTTTATCACTGTGAAGCATCCCTTGTTCTTTGAGTAACAGTGAGTGTCTAGGAACTCAAGAGACCAGTTGCTTGAGTTTTTAGACAGGAATAGTTCACTCTTGTCTGTATAATGCTATTCAACAGTTTTAGGCCTTCTTGCTGAACGGCAGCACACGTTGCTCTAAAACCTTTAAACTTTTCTGCATTGATGGTGTTAATCCTGATGTGTAAGCTGCCCATGCAGAGGCATTATTGCACCCCCTATACCATCAGAGAGGCCGGGTTTTGAACTGTGTGCTAAAAAAATCTCCTTTTTAGTATGGAGGACATATGCTCTTAAGATTACAAACATAGTGTAAATTTTTGGTTTGATTTGCCTTAGCTCATTTTAAATTAGTTTTGGCCCACAAAAGAAAGCATGTTGTTGATGGTGTTCAAAAAGAACCTAGGAGATGATTGTACGCTATCCTTCATGCAAAATTATATAAAATTATGTAATTTAAGTTTATTTGAGACACAAAATACGAGGAATATTTAAGTTTTACGTATGTATATCTATCACAGGGGATTATAAAAAGTATGCATAATAAAGGAAGAGCTATTGGGGGGCTTTTTGGACTTGGGATGTGTAGGGAAACCCCTCACCTCACCACTGGTTGACCTTTGACCACCTGGGGTCAAACCTCTCCTCTTTCCAGACTTAATAATTTCAGCTCTGCTGAGAGATTTAAAAAAAAGAAAACTTTGCCTTTCCTTTCCTCTGGGAAACCAATATGGTTCTTATTCTCATAGAGATTTGCTGTTTGTTGATAAAAACTAAATAAAATAAAACAAACCTGTTGCTGTTCTCTCAATATGTATAATTCCAACGTTTCAAACATTTAATATATTTGACTTTTTGTCTATTTTTAACGACTCTCTAATTTAGCTTATAATAATTCTGCATTTGTTGTCTTTCATTATGCTTAGATTTGTATGTGTTAATGATAACAGAATATATGTTTTAGTCAATGCTTATATTTTTATGTTTTATTTCTTTTATTTTGATAAGAATACTCAGTTGTTCTTAATAGACCATTTAGTCAATGTTCATAATTAATATGCAGAATATTAATGTGAGGATTTCACAGTCACATCCCTGATTGGTTCTGGCAGTTAACAGGCAGCAGC